ATCAAAAAATCAAAAAATAATAGATGATGGCATGGATGTGGTAAAAAGGGAACACTTTTACATTTTTTGGAGGGAATGTAAACTAATACAACAGCTATGGAAAAGAGTGAGGAGATTTCCAAGAGAACTAAAAGCAGATCTATCATTTGATCCAGCAATCCCACTCCTGGGTATCTACCCAGAGGAAAAGAAGTCATTCTATGAAAAAGATACTTGCACATGCAGGTTTATAGTAGCATGATACGCAATTGCAAGAATTTGAAACCAGCCTACATGCCCATAAATCAATAAGTCAATAAAGAAAATGTGGTATATATATTTACCACGGAATACTACTCAGCCATAAGATGGAATGAAATAATGCATACACAGCAAAAAGTGAAGTAACTTAGGAATAGAAAACCAAACATTGTATGCTCTCACTCATAAGTGGGAGCTAAGCTAAGAGGATGCAAAGGCGTAAGAATGATACAATGGTCTTTGGGGACTCGGGGGAAAGGCTGGGAGTGGTGGGGTGGGTGTGGTGAGGGATAAAACACTACACATTGGGTACACTTGGGTGACAGTTACACCAAAAATCTCAGAAATCGCCAATAAACAACGTATTCATATAACAAAATACCACCCGTTCCCCAAAAACCTATTGAAGTTTTAAAAAACCCATCATATTCCCCAAAAACCTACTGACAAAAAAAAAAAAATAACTACAATAATATTAGGCATTGAGTATGGCAGCATTGATGGATGGGAGCACTGCACTAACATTACAGCAATCCACTGTGAAACATTTATTATTAGCAAGTTTAAGAACAGGTCAAATTCTACCGCTAAATGTTGAAGCAATGATGATAATCACCACTTCACAAATTAATTAGGTCTTATATAATAAGTTTTATTTATCTGAAGTCATGTTGCAATTTTTTTTGCACCATATTTCCTAATTTATCAACATGACGAGGCTAGGCACCATGGCTCAGGCCTGTAACCTAAACCCAACACAAAACTCTACCCTAACCACTAACCCTAACCGCTAACCTTAAACCCCAACCCTAACCACTAGCCTAGCCCTAAATCCTAACCCAAACACTACCGTGACCCTGACCCGAAACCTAACCTATAACCTAACCCTAACCCCTAGCCATAGCCCTAGCCCCAACCCTAACCAAACCCTAAACCCTAACACCCTAAACCATAACCCTAAGCCTAACCCAACCCCAACTCCAAACCTTAACCCCAACCCTAACTCCCAACCCAAGCCCTTAAACCCTAACTCTAACCATGAACCTGAACCCTAACCCCTAACAACAAGCCACGGCCCAAGCTCTAACCGTAATCCCTAACTCTAACCCCTAATCCTAACACCTAGCACAAGCCCTAGACCTAATCCAAACCCCAAACCCTAACCCTTAACCTTAACCCTAACCCCTAACCCCTAACCCCGGCCATGACCCTGACCCTGACCCATAACACCTAACACTAACCCAACCCTAACCATAACACCTAAGCCTAGCACTACTAATAGGCCTAGCCCTAACCCATAACCCTAACCCTAAACTCTAACCCAAACCATACTACTGACCCCCTAAGCCCCTAAACCTAACTCTAACCCAAACCCAAACCCCAACTGCAACACCAAACTCTAACCTAACACAACCCCAACTCTAACCCTTAACCCTTAACACTAACCCTCAACCCACTACCCCTAACCCTACCTTAACCCTAACCCACTAAACCTAATTTTAACCCAAACCTGAACAACCGCAACCCGAATCATAACCTTTAACACTAACACTCTAACCACCGAACCCTAACCACTAAGCCTACCCTAACCCTAAACCCTAGCCCCAACTCAAACTCCTAATCTGTGCCTAACTTAAACCACTAACCCCAATCCAAAACCAACACCAACCGCAAACCTAACCTCTACCACCAAACCCTAACCTTAACCACTAACATGAACCCTAACCCTAACACCAACCCCAACCCATAATCATAAACTCAATACATACCCGCAAACGCAACTCCAACCCCTAACTCTAACAATAAAACCTAACTCTAGGCCTAGCCCTAATCCTAATCCCAACCCAACCCCAACCTAACCCGAACGTCTAACCCTAGCTGCTACCCTACACTAAACCTAACCTTACCCTAACCCTAACCCAACCCCAAAACCTAATCCCTAACCCTAACCTCTAAACCTAACCGTAACCCAAACCCCAATCACTGACCCTAACCCTGCCCTAACACTAATCCTAACCATAACCCTAGCCCCAGCACTAACCCTAGCCCAATCCTAATCCTAACCGGACCCCTGACCCTTTAACACTTGACCCCCGACCCCTACCCTAACAACCCTAACCCTAAAGCTACCCTAACCTCAGCCCCTGGCCCTAACCCTAATCCAACCCGAACCCTAACACCGAACCCCTTAGCCCTAACCCTAACCACAACCCCTAACACCTAAACCTAACCACTAGCCCTAACACTTAACCCTAACCCATAGCCCTAATTCTTAACCCTAACCCTAATCCTAACCAGGAACCCCTAACACCTAGCATTAAACCCTAACCTCTAACCCAAACCCTTGCCCTAACCCAGGACCTAGCTTTAGCACAGACCTAGCTCTAACCCTAACCCGTAGCCCTAACCCGAAGCCCAAACCCTAACACTAACTGCAAGCCCCAACCAGGACCTTGACCCTAACCCCTAACCTTAACCCTAATCCCTAAACCAAACCCTAGCCCTACCCCTACACTTAACCTTAAACCAACCCTATGCCTAACCATGACCCTGACCCCAGCCCCAGCCCTGAACCTAATACCTAACCTCAAGCCTAATCCTAGCATTAACCCTAAGTCCTAAACCCTAACAACCCTAACCCTAATCCCTAACCCTAGCCCTAACTCCAACCCCCAACCCTAAACCTTAACCCCAACCCCTATCCGTAACCTGAACCTGAACACACATCCCTAACCTTCTAACCTTAACCCTCATCCTAATTCTAAGCCTTAACCCTAACCCTAACCCTTACCGTAACACAAACCCTCTAATTGTAGCCCATAACCCTAACCCAAACCCTAAACCCTAACCCTAATCCGACAGCAACCCCTCACCGTAACTGCTGTTAACGCAAAACATTAACCCTAACTTTAAAATGTAACCACAACCCAAATCCCAAAGCTGACGTATCCTAATCCATAATCTATTCTAATCCTAACCACAACCCCTAAACTCTAACTCCTTATGCTAATGCCATCCCCAACCCCAACATTATACCCTAATCCTAACCCTCACGCTGACAGCAACCCTAAACCTCACCGTAACAATTGTAAACCTATCTTTGGATTCTAGGCCGTGACCCTGAGTGACCCTAACCCTGCTCCCTTGTTACACATTCTCATTTCACCATGCCGTATTTGGAATCGAGCCGTGTCACTCCACTGCTGCAAAATCCTATTCGTCAAGATCCTGTATACCTTACCTTGCCTCAGCAGGTGTCTGTCTTTGACACGTTCTTCATTACTGCTCTTCCCCATTAAACTACTGTACTCAGGAAAAAAACGTTGCCACACTTGTGTGCACTACTTACCATGGATTAACACACGTCCTAAAGGAGTAAGCCAAGGATAGACATTCAGTTTGATATTTTTATTTTTAATTTTTGTTGGGACACAGTAGGTGTATGTGATTCCTTCAGTCTTAAAGCAGCCACCTTCTCCCACCTATGGCTCCCAAGGCCATCACAGGGGTCCTCAGCACTTCAGTACCACAGGATCTGAGAAAATGTGGAAGGTTTTATGTCATCCTGTGTAAGGGCCAGGCCCGTAAGGATCATCACTTGCATACTTTGTTTTGTTTTGTTTTTGAGACGGAGTCTTGCTCTGTCGCCCAGGCTGGAGTGCAATGGCGCAATTTTGGCTCACTGCAACCTCTGCCTCCCGGGTTCACACAATTCTCCTGCCTCAACCTCTAGAGTAGCTGGGATTACAGGTGCACACCACCATGACCGGCTATTAATTTTTCTATTTTTTAGTAGAAATGGGGTTTCACCACATTGGTCAGGCTAGTCTCAAACTCCTGACCTCGTGATCTGCCCAACTCAGCCTCCCAAAGTGCTGGGATTACAGGCGTGAGCTACCACTCCCAGCCACATGGGTACATATTCTACTGCAGAGCTCAGTTATCTGATGCACCCACAAAAACAGAGGGCTGAGAAATGCCATCTGTGTGTCCAACAGAAAAAGGTGTGAATTTTGTAGAACACATTTAGCCAGTCTCTGACACACAGGATTTCTCTCGTGTGAATTCCCTAATACCTGCTGAGGTGTTACTTCAGACAAAAGGATTTTGCACATTCATTTTTTTTTTTTTTTTTTTTTTTTTTGAGATTGGAGTCTCGCTCTGTCGCCCAGGCTGGAGTGCAGTGGCACCATCTCGGCTCACTGCAAGCTCCAACTCCCAGGTTCATGCCATTCTCCTGCCTCAGCCTCCTGAGTAGCTGGGACTACAGGTGCCCACCACCTCGCCCAGCTAGCTTTTTTGTATTTTTAGTAGAGACGGGGTTTCACCGTGTAAGCCAGGATGGTCTCCATCTCCTGACCTCATGATCCACCCTCCTCCGCCTCCCTGCCCTCCTCGGCCTCCCAAAATGCTGGGATTAGAGGTGTGAGCCACCGCGCCCAGCCCACATTCATTACACTCTTAGGCTTTCTCCCTTGTAAGAATTTCTTGATGCCTCCTGAGGTCTGACTTCTGCTAAAAGGTGTTTCCAACACTCATACAGCCACAGGGCTTTCCCTGTGTGACTTCTCTGATGGGTATTAAGGCTTGACTTGTGGTTGAAGGATTTCTCACACTGGTTACATGCACAGGGTTTATTTCCTGTATGCATCCACTGATATGCTGTAGGATTTCATTTGCTACTAAGGCTTTTCACACCTTCAGTATGTTAACAGGCCTCTTCACCTGAGTGAGTTCTGTAATGTACAGTGAGGGCTGACTTCTGGTAGAAAGCTTTCCTACATTCTTTGCATTCATATGGTTTTTCATGTGTGTGAATTCTCTGATGTCTATTGAGAGTTGACTTCTGGCAAAAGCTTTTCCCACATTCTTTGCATTCATATGGCTTCTCCCCTGTGTGAATTCTTTCATGTATCATGAGGGATGACTTCTGGTAGAACGTTTTCCCACATTCCTTACATTCATGGGATTTCTTCCCCATGTGAATTCTTTCATGTATAGTGAGGGCTGACTTCTGGAAGAAGGTTTCCCTACATCCATTACATTTATAAGGCTTCTGTCCTGTGTGAGTTTTCTGATGCCTGCTGTAGTTCGCCCTCTGACGAAAGGTTTTTCCACATTCGTTACACTTGAAGGGTTTTTCTCCTGTGTGAGTTCTCTGATATGTGGTGAGCACTGACTTCTGGTAGAAGGATTTTCCACATTCATTACATTCGTAGGGTTTCTCCCCTGCGTGAGTACTCTGATGCATCCTCAGGTTTGACTTCTGGCTAAAAGTTCTCCCACATTCATTACACTCATAGGGTTTTTCCCCTGTGTGAGTCCTCTGATGTTTAGTGAGAACTGCCTTCTGGTAGAAGGTTTTCCCACATTCACTACACTCATGGGGTTTTTCACCTGTGTGAGTACCCTGATGCATCCTGAGGTTTGACTTCTGGCTAAAGGTTTTTCCACATTTATTACATTCATATGGTTTCTCACCTGTGTGAGTTCTCTGATGTATAATGAGAACTGAATTCAGGCAAAATGTTTTTCCACATTCATTACATTCATAGGGTTTTTCTCCTGTGTGAGTTCTCTGATGTACAGTAAGTTTTGACTTCTGAGCAAAAGTTTTCCTGCATTCTTTACATTCATATGGCTTCTCACCTGTGTGAGTTCTCTGATGTACCGTGAGGGCTGACTTATGGTAGAAAGCTTTCTTACATTCTTTACATTCATATGGCTTCTCACCTGTGTGAATTCTCTGATGTACAGTGAGGACTGACTTCTGATAAAAGGTTTCCCCACATTCATTACACCTATATGGTTTCTCTCCTGTGTGAATTCTCTGATGTACATTGAGGGCTGACCTCTGGTAGAAGGTTTTCCCACATTCCATACATTCATAGGGTTTCTCTCCTGTGTGTATTCTGTGATGATAAATAATGGCTGACATTTGGCAGAAGGTTCCCCCACATTCATGACATTCATAGGGCTTTTCCCCTGTGTGGATTCTCTGATGAACAATTAGGTTTGACTTCTGACAGAAGGATTTCTCACATTTGGTACATGCAAAAGGTTTCTCCCATGTATGTGTTCTCTGATGATTTGCAAGGTATGATTTCTTAATGAAGGATTTCTCACATAGTACACATTTATAGGGTTTCTCTCCTGTGTGTATTTTCTGATGTTTGGTAAGCTTAGACTTTTTACAGAACACTTTCCCACATACACAACATTCGACATTTATCTTCCGGCAAGTGAGTGCTGACTTATCACAGGATTTCCCACGCTCACTATAGGTACATGCAGTCTTTCCACCGTGACCCTTCTCTGCCTCAGTGCTGAAGGCTTTTCCTTGTCTACTATACTCAAAAAGCTGCTGCTCCATATGAATCTTGTTATGGTGACTAAAATACTCATGACACGTGAGAGATTTCCCAGTTATACTTCGAGCATCAGGTTTTCCTCCTGCCTGCATTTCATGAGGCTCAATCGAGATATGTATGTTCTGACTTACATTTAACTCCTCAGGCCTCATTCCTGAATAGTGTGCATTATTTACCATCACATCTGGAATATGGTTTAAGCTCAAATTAAGTATTTTTCCTAATTCAACTGTTTCCTTGGTTGATGTTTTGCTGTTGGTGACTGCAACTTGCCATATACGTCTATGATGAATTTCCTGGCTTCTTTCAATTATATCAACTGTCTGGACACCTGTAACAAAGAAAAAACAAAACAAAACAAAGCAAAACAAAAATCCATGAACCACACACAAGCATTTGTTATGGAATGCTTATATAAAGACTCAATGAAGTTACTTTCTCTCCTAGTGGCATAAGATTCTTTAAAAATCAATAATCAGGACTGGTTTTATAAGCACATGGCTGTTCCTACTAACTTAATATAAGAAATTACATTACTAGATTTTCTAATGTGAAATTATGTTTTTCACTGTTGTTTCATTAAAAATATTTGGTAAAAAATATTCACCTACACCTAGTTGTAATTTTCCCCTAAGGGCTTATCACCTGCCAACTGTTTTCTCTATTGTTTTTCTCCATTTCATTCTTGTAACAACGGGAGGCATCTTGTGCTATTTTTCTCATTCCGCCTTGAAGATGATAAGGTATTCCTGGATCAGCTACCTGCAGGTGCCCACCATGGCCACTTGTCTTCAAGACCAGATTTTACACCAGTGTTTCTTTAGCTTTCATGCTTCCCTGGGAATGTCTATAGGCATCTGGGCATTTTTCAAATACAAAATCTCTCCTCCAAACTAGGTGAAGACTGCCTCTTTCAAATTTCTAACTTAACCTGACTCGCTTAGCTTCTCAGAACTGTAATAGATACATGAAGCTCCACTCCACCACTGTGGGCATCCCCTCCCTGCTGGTCCTAAGGATTCAGTTCTGGAACTCGGGTGGGGTTCACCATCTTTGAAAAATCATTTATTGGCTCCTTCCGAGATGAATAGACCTGATATTCTCCCCCCAAATTCTTGGCACATCCATCCCTGCTTCAAATTCAATGCTTCTGAAGGCTTTTGTGTGTTCAAGTTTCAGCTGTCTCCTAGTTTCAGAGAAAAACGGGGTCTCTTGTACACTTCTCATTGTCTACTGCCAAACAGAAATCTCAGCCCTTCAACATGAAACCTTTGCTTCAACAGGCTTTGGAATCCAGAATCTCCTGGTTCTCTTCCAAATTCCAGGCCTATCCTGTTCCATGCTCTTATGCTGGGTCCTCCTCACTGTAAGGATTTCTGATGTCATTATAAAAAAAGCCTCACTATGAGATTGTTCTTATTTTTTGTTCAACTCCCTAGGTGACCTCCTCTATAATTATGATTCTAAACACCAGCTTTGACTTACCGATTTTTAAGTCTGTATCTCCAATTGTGATGTCCACTCTTTACATATATATTTATATTCACCTACTATGTGCCACAATTGGAAAAGAGTTAAATTGAACTGGAGCTATGCCAAAGTTAACAACGCCTCTAACACTGCATTGTCTTACCATCTTTCCTAAATTTTATCCCTTTTTTACTCACTCTGGTTAAATATTCCACATGGTTCTTTTACAACTACTTAACATATATTATTTTGTTTCTCTTATCACAATGTACACTTTATGAAAAAAGACATTATTTTGACCATTGCTGTTATAAACGCCAAGTATAAAGTTACCATGGCTTACAAGCTACTCGATTAAGATGTGTTGAAAGAATCAACGGATGTATGAATAAATGTCCGGGGGAAAAAAAACAGTCCATGAAAACGGAGGAAAAGAAAACAACTGAGAAAACTGAGAAAATGAATAGCAAAGAAACATGTCTAAGAAGAGCAAGGTAGGGACCAGATTGAGTAAATATTTTTAAATATTCGCGAAATAAAATGCAGGGATATATGCATGAAAGCCCTCCTTGGAGATGACAGAATTCACATGTTTGATGCATAAAGATTAGCTGTCCTCAGGTATGGGACCTGGGAGAAAAAGTGGTGAAAACAAGTCAACGATGCAAATATCTGCCGGGCTTTACTCTTCCTGGCTTCCCTGCCCAGGATGCAGTTGACTAACCTGAGAGGCACTGGTTTGCCCATTCTTCTCCTAACCATGGCTCTGCTCCTTGCTCCAACTTGAAGATCACCTCAGGTTTGGTAATGCAATGGCCTGGTAATGGGAAATAATGGAGGACTTAGCCAAACTGCAAAGTAAGGTCCTTTTCAGAATGACAACAGCTCGGTTTCAGAAGCTGTATAATGAAGGAGCCTATTTGAATCTTTTGTTAGAGAGGGTTGACACATTCTTCACATGGAATAGCATTAAACCTTATAAATGCTTCCTATACTTACCAACATGGAAGTAAGTGTTGCTTCTGGGGGTTACTGGGCAGCTTCACTCACCCAGTGACACCAGGCTGCTGTAGGTCTCCAGCATCACGTCCCTGTATAGTGTCCTCTGTGCATCATCCAGGTCCTGCCACTCCTCCCAGGTGAAGTGCACGGCCACCTCCTCAAAGGACACCAACCCCTGTAATGGCACATTTCTCCTCAAGTCATCAGCCCAGGGTCACAAGATAGGAATGTCAGAGTTCATTCTTCTGTAGCGGCATGTCTCTTATGTGTATCTTACATAAACTGTAGCTTCTCTGTACTCTATATGGAGAAAGAACAAGCATAGTAGAAGTATCCTGCCACTATCATGTTTTGTTAATAAAATAGATTACAAAGTTTACCTTGTAGATGTAGAATCATCCTTATTGTGAAAGATAAAAGTAGAAAAAAATTCTGTGATCTGGTATGATGACAAAAATTATAAACACATACCTAGAACAACATGATAGATGAATTAGTAGAGACATAAGTTTAATGTCGACTGCAGTAAGAAAGGAGAAAATACAGTTCTATATTGCATTAGAAAGTTGCACTTCATTGAAAAACCAAAGATGCTTAGTACTTCACGTGAACCATGTGTTCTCGTGACTTTGAGGCAACACTGGAGTCTAGTCATAAGGACACGAAGAACACATACCATATTAACGGAACTGCACACAGCACCATGTCTAGCTGAATGATCCCGGGCTGTGATGAGAGAGAACACAACACTGAAGGAACTGATTATGGAGTGAGTCTGCATGTAAATATCTGACCTAACTCCAAAAGTTATTTTTAAATTATTTATAAATTAAAATAATGTACATAAGCATCTGAACATTTCCTTCCTCATGCCCAATGACTGCTTGCGTCCACCCTTAGGGTGCACACTCCTATTTCCCTAACCACCGGGTGTAAATAATGTGTAAATCTGTGTAATGTTTACACTCATCTGTGAGTGTAATGCGTGTAAATACCTGTAAGAACAAGTATGTTACATGACCAAATATGCATTTTCACAGTCGCCTAGAGGGAGAATGGGTAAGGACTTTGGGGAGATTCAGAGGGGAAGAAAACAGAGTGATAGATGACCACATTCATCCTATCACAGAGCAGTAAGAATACAGAACAGGGAAGCAATCCTTAAAAAGGAAAAGGGGAAAAGAAAAAGAATTTGGTGCTAATTTGCTGTGCAGAGGGTAAAATGGGGAGTTTCACTTTCAGATGATGCAGAATCATGTCTAGTGAGGTAATGGCACTGCAAATTTAGAAAATTAAAAATATGACGACCAGAAGTGACACAGACTTAGATCATATTGGAAACATCTGAGGTACCGTACGTGGGGATGTCCAACGAGCAACTGGATATACAATTCCAGAGTTCAGAAAAGATATCTAAGCAGAAGATAAATATGTGGAAAGTATCAGAATTTGTAAGGTACTCGTAGCCATCACAGTTTAAGAGATTAAAAGAAAAAATGAACAAATGCAGAATCTACAGAAACACTGACCAAGACAAACTTTCGAAGATTATTCTACAAATAAAGCTCAATAAGTATACTAATATAACCATATTCACAGTTCTATAAAGAAAAATTCTTCAATTTTGCACATAGACATACACAACGTACTTTTAGAAACACATTCCGGGTTTCTATTTCTGCATGTAAGAAGCTTGAAAGTCATCATTCCATCTTAACAACAAATGAAAAGCTGAAGAAACTGAAAAATCAGCAACTCTTCTTGGATCTGTAAGGGAGGGAGAACACAGGACAATCCACTGCCCCAAGATTGGAGATATAGACAGGCAAAAACAAGAACAGAGATTCACTAGCAAAAATCACCATGGGAACCAGTGCAGGAGGAGGAAATTCTGAACTGTAACTAACAAACTGTGAGAGGCTCAGCGCGAACAACTCCAGAAGTTAAAAACTCCAGGGGGACCCAGTCATGAGGGTGACTCCACAGTACTGTGAAATTTACCACTAGGAGCTTAAGTAGCCTCCTACAGTAAATACTGGAGACAGCTCCCCTCCTGCTTCCACCTGCAGGCAGGCAGGGAAAAGGCAAATCATTTTGAAATATGAAAGAGTACTGCATTGCTTCTTAACCAGAGCCTAGCCTGATGTGGTATTAACAGCTTCAATGACCTAGGTGAAGGGAAATACCCAACTCCAACCCACTCTAGCCATCATGTCGCACCTAAAATAGAAGGGAAAAAAAAAAAAAGAGCAACACTTGTGAAGTTCACAGTTCAAAAGAAAGAAGAGCTCACTAAAAGAAATAAGCCCTGTTGACAGGACTACAGACCACTTCGGCTATGGTCTAAAAGTGTGTGTCCCCGCAAAATCGTTACTTGGAAGCCTAACCTCTAATTTTACTGCAAGATTTGGAAGATACAAATTCAAGTGATTACCAAGGTTGGACTATTGGGAGATACCTGTTTTGATGACAAACACTGAGACCACACAATCGACTAGGCCAAAGTTATCTAGAAAAATGAGCTCACACATGGAAAAGTGTGAAACCCAGCTGTTCCTATTGTGTTTTCCAAAAATTAGGGACGTCTGCCTTACGAGACTCACGCAGCTCTCAGGTACACACATGGTAATCCTTTCGTTTAAGTAGAGGCGCTCGCAGCACCTTCACAGCACCAGCCTCTCCCCGGAGAAAAGGGCCACCCAGACAATCCTGCTGCTGGATCTCACTCTGTCACCCAGGATGGAGTGTAGTGGCACAATCATAGACAACTGTAACCTCATGGGCTCAAGTAAATCCTCCCTCCTCAGCCTCCTGGGTAGCTAGGACTACAGAAGTGTACCACTATGCCCAGCTAATTTTTTTGTTGTTTTGTAGACATGAGATCTCACTGTGTTACCGAGGCTGATCTTGAATTCCTGGCCTAAGGCAGTCTTTCAGTCTCAGCCTCCCAAAGTATTGGGATTGAGACACAAACCATGGTGTGCAACTATATGACATTTTCTATATTCACTTATATTTCTATGGACATTCAGGTTGTTTTCATATCTTGCCATAATCCATTTTCAATTTACTTTTCTGTATGGTGTAAAATGTGGTCCAATTTTTTTGCATGTGGATAACCAGATTTCCCATCATTTACTGAAGAGTTTGTTTTCTCGTGTGTATTTGTATGCCTTTGTTGAAAATTAATTGACTCAGGCCAGGCTGACTGATACATTTCTGACCTCTCTATTCTGTTCCATTGGTCTATGTGTCTGTTTTTATGCCAGTGTCATTCCGTTTTGATGACTACAGCTTTGCTATGCAGTTTAAAATCGGGAAATATAATGCCTCCAGCTTTGCCTTTCTTACTCAAAACTGCTTTACTCTTTTATGATTCTAAACTTAAGAATTTTTTTTCTATTTTTGTGAAATATGCTATTGAAATTTTGATAGACTGATTTGAATCTGTATATCACTTTGGGCACTACGGATGTTTAAAGAAACCTTTTTCAGGAACACAACATATTTTATTTGCGTCTCCTATAATTGCTTTCATTAATATTTTACAGTTTTTGATGTATAGATCCTTCACCATCTTGGTTATATTTATTCCTAAGTACTTTATTCTTTTTGACATTATGTTAAATGGATTTATTTCTGGATTTTTGTCAGATATATTGTTAGGAAATAGAAATGCAAGTGATACTTTTGGTACATTGGTACAATATCCTGAAATGTTACTTAGTTTATTACTTCAAAAAGTTATTTGATGTAATGAGGAGCACAATGGACTGTGGTTACACATTAAATGATAGCTTCTGTTAGTATATCACCATGCCTCAAAAAGTGATCTGCTGTATTTCTGCTGTTACAAATTCAGTCGCATTTTTTAGTCCTAGTATTTTTTCTTCTAAAATATTTTTGTCTATTATTAGCTAATAATGTGTATCCTCTGCTTACTGTTCAATTGTGCTACCCATTTATCTTCCAGCCTAGTTAGTCCAACTTTCTAATAAAATTTTTAACAATGGTATGTTCATTTACTGTAAACTTAAATAGTAAATTTGTATGATAGTTTTACAGTTACCAAATAGGATTTAAAACATGTCAATTTGTTGCTACCAATGAATCTCTGGGTTCCTAATTTTAAACATTTATGTATCATGTCTATTAAATATGTACGTGCAATGGCTTAGAATCAAGCCTAACATATCGTATGCACTAAGTATCAATCAAACCAATTTTTAAAATTATCACTTTCATACTATTAAAAATTATTTAGAGAGAAGAAAAAGATATAGGTCATATACCTGGATCTACATAAGGAAAGGAAGAGCAGTAAAGAAAGAATGAGGGTATCTTAACCAATCTACATATTATGTACAAACATATGCAATTATATACACATGCACGATTATGTGTGCTTATATGTAGTTGAAATGAATGATGACAACGACACAAGGGACAGGAAAATGGAAGAGAAAAATTACGTTAGAAGATAGTCACGCTACTTGTGAAGCAGTACAGTATTATTTGAAACTGGACTTGTAAGTGTATATTGAAACCCTAGAGCAACTTTTTAAACTAGTACAAAAAGTTTAAAAAATTATAGCTATAAAGAAAACACATGCTAAGAAAGAAGAGAAAATGGAATCATATAAAATGCTCAGTTAACATCTCAAAAGGCAGAAAGAGTAGAAGACAAAACAATATGGGAATAATAACAATAACAAATACGGCAGTTATTAATTCAACTATATCAATAATCACTTTGAATATCAATGGTCTAAATTCACGAATTAAAACAGAGATTGTCAGAGTGGATCAAAATACAAGACCCAACTATATGTTGTCTACAAGAAACCCATTTTAAATATAAAGCCACTCATTAATTAAAAGTAAACAGAGAAAAATATACAATGCTAACAATAAGAAAGCAGGAGTGGCCAGGTGCAGTGGCTCACACCTGTAATCCCAGCACTTCGGGAGGCTGAGGTGGGTGGATCACTTGAGGTCAGGAGTTCGAAACCAGTCTGGCCAACAAGGTGAAACGTCTCTATTAAAAAAAATACAAAAGTCAGCTGGACATGGTGTTGGGCACCTGTAATCCCAACTACTTGGGAGGGTGAGGCAAGAGAATCGCTTGAACCGAGGAGGCAGAGGTTGCAGTGAGCTGAGATCACGCCCTTGCACTCCAGCCTGGGCAATAAAAGTGAAACTCTGTCTCAAAAAAAAAAGAGTAACTATATTTCACACAAAGTAGACATCAAAGAAAGTAAGTTATCATGAAAAAAGAATGGTACTTCATCATGACATAGCAGTTAATCCTCCAAAAAGATGACAATCCTTAATGTGTATGCACCTGACAACAGACTGTCAAACGACATGAGGCAAAAACAAAACTGGAAGGAGAAATAGATGGATCCACTATCACAATTTGAGACATCAACACTCTCCATTAGAAACAGACCCAGCAGGCAGCCATATGTAGAAAGCTGAAACTGGATCCCTTCCTTACAACTTACACAAAAATTAATTCAAGATGGATTAAAGACTCAAATGT